TCTACCGCTATTACTAACAAGAATCGTTAATCATTGCAATAATAATTATTGATAAAATTGTTAGTAGAGTCTCGTTGTCCTGACAGTAACATCATCATTATTGGGTGATAATATTACATTTTTACTGACAATATCAATAATTGTTATTATCACTATAATAAAAATTATTCGTTACACGCATGAGATAAAATTATATTTTTGCATTATTTTGCGCTAATAGGTTGACAAAATCAATCGTATGTCTCATTAACTTTGTAATTAATGTAATGAAAAAAGAAAAAAAAACGTTATCGTTATCATTGTGATCAACATTATCATAAAATGGAAGTTGACAAACTTTGAATATTGCTTTAAATCAATACACTCTCATTATCATTTTATCGTTAAAAAAATTATACCATTTGCAAAATCTATGAATTATTAAAATTATCAACCACATTAACATTATTACAATCAAAAAAATCGTTACCATTATCATTATCGTTAACATCGTTACAAAATATAGATCCTGTAAAACATATCAATTATATATTAAAAAAAAAAAAAACCATGATGCAGTAATTCGTTCACATTTCTATTAATTAATCAATTTTTTATCTTTTAAATAAATTTCATCATCTTTTTCATTCCTCCCATTTTCTATTTATCAATTATTGATGATAATAGTTATAATAATAATGGTAATTGAATCATTTTTCAAATCTTATAAAAATTTTGCAAAAAAAAATTCAATTAATTTTTTAAATTAAATAATTTTTTTATTACTTTTTCATCGGTTATATATTTATTTTTCGGTTTTTTTTTTTTAGAGCAATTTTTCCTGTTTTTTTTCCTCTTTTATCACTTGTTTTGTTAAAAATTTCCTATTGAAATGTAGTAGTAAGATGTCAACAAGTTTTTAAAATTAAAACAAGTTTTGTGACATGGGACACTTTTCATCGTAAACTTGCCCAACAAATATACGAATCAAATGATAGCGATGGTCATTTGAATGTGTGAATATTTGGGTAAACTTTTACCCGAAATTAATTCATCGATTGCCATCCAATTTCTTTCTGTACATTGATATAATGTCATAATCACTGTTATGATAATTGTATTGTAATTTTATTTCGATTAATTAAAGTATTTTAATTATTACAGATGGTTATCGTTATTGATCCAATTAAAAACAATGAAAAAATTGGTACTTTTTCGATTAGTTTTTCGTTTTTTCGTTTTTTTTTCGGTTGTTTTAAATAAATTAATTCATTTACAAATGAAATTCTATTAGATATAAAGCAGTTCCATTCTTTTTATTTATTTATTTTTTATTTTTTGTTAAATGCAACATAATTTTAATTAATATAATATAATTCAAAAAAATTGTCAATTTTATTTCATAACGAATGACATTTAATAAAACGTTTTGCTTGGAAAAATTACTGCAAATTATTTTCATCCTTTCAAATTAATAAATTTTACAAACAACAAAAAACTGGCTAATTTTGAATTCAATTTTGAAACATTAAAATTAATTATTATTGGCAAATTGTTGTCTAACAACACGGTAAGAATAATATTTATAATATTTTATTATAAGACTTTGCTAATTAGATAATATTTTCGTTAGCCATAATATTTTACTAATTAGAATAATGTTCGTAATATTTTGCTAATTAGCACAGTTTTTAGTATTTAATTAATTTCATAAAAAAATACATTCAGCCAATTCAACCATAATTACAATCAAAAATAATTGAAAAAGGATTTGTGACTTAAATTTATCAAATTTCACATGTAGGAAGGTATTGATTAAATAAATTAGGTATTAATCGATCAAAAATTAAGTATGTTATTTGAATCAATCAATAAATTATTTCAACAATTACTTCAACCAATTCAGCATTTGTCATCAAAATTATTTCAATCAAATGACATTGATTTATTTATGACATCAAAGATCATCAAGTAAAGAAGTTTTATGGGGGAAAAAAGAAAAATAAAAATTGAAAATTATGAAATTATCCATAAATGATAATTTCAGTTGTATTGGTTACCGGTGCATCAGGCTATATAGCATTACATTGTGTCCAACAACTTTTAGAAAGTGGTTATACGGTAAGAGGTACGGTACGAAGTTTACAAAATTCATCTAAGGTTAGCTGTTTTTTTTTTCTTTATTCTTTGCTCATAATAAATTTAAACAAAAAAAAAAAAAAAATGGAGTAAAACTTTTTCGAAACTTAAAAAATATTTTGACAATTATCAGCATTGATCAAAATATTGCTAAAGTATTTATTAATTGAAATATAACACAATTACTAATATTTACTGTATTAATTTGATAAACGAAACTTTAATTCTCTATATTACAGTAGTAAGAGGTATTTTAATTCTGGTATTACAGTAATAAAAAATTCTTTAATTCTTTGTATCATTAATTATATGAGAAAAATTTTTTGTTTTTCTCAAAATAATATAGGATTTTTGTAGAACTTATCATATTTCAAACTTTGACCTCCCATGCATTGACCTTTAATCAGAAATACTTGAATTAATTTATCATTTGTTGACAAATGATGAGCTACGGATTATATTCGTAAAAACTTACAAGAGCTTTAACAGCACGTTAAAGGATAATGGTAATTGATTCAATAATTTTATTACTAATTAATTATTAATCGGTAATTAATGAAAGAGT